AGGCCAAAATATTTGTGCGATGTGCAGTTAAGTCCTGGTTAGTGCTGTGTACCTAAACCCATGTTCACTGGTCCAGGTCCGGATTCAAGTCCAGAGGTTTAGGTTCAGGTCCTGACTTGTAAGTCACCATAAGGCCACACCAATTAAAAAATCTTGGTTAACAGATTTTTCTAGAAATATAATGGAGCGGGCGGGCGAAAAAAATAAAAACAGGCCTAGGCATCCTATTATGGCCCAAAATGGTATCATAGGAGCCATGAAGTCAACACACCAGGCTAGTTCAAAATTTAAACAATGAATTTTGAACTTTTAATGAAACTACTGCATTGAAAGATGGAATGACTGTAACAAGTAACAGTTAGTAAGAAAAGGACTGTTTTCAACTGTTTAGGGCAAAATATGGGCATTTTGCAGTTGATTCTGAATTTTTATTTATTTATTTTTTTGCAAATCAGAAAAAAAATGAAGCAGCAAATCCGTTAACCAAGAAATTAAATTGGTGTGGGGCATATATAAAATACAGAAGGGACTTCTCAGTTAACATTTCCCAATGGAAAATGGGGCATCTTTACTGCCAAATTTTCTGTATCTGTATAGCCGGTATAACCACCCTTTGGCATAACACACCATCTTTGCAGGCATGCTACGTCGTGGCAGCTGGCTACATTACACCAAAGAACTTGTTACACCTAAGGCCACACCAATTTAATTTCTTGGTTAACGGATTTTTCTAGAAATATAATGGAGCGGGCGGGCGAAAAATAAAAATAAAAACAGGCCTAGGCATCCTATTATGGCCCAAAATGGTACGATAGGAGCCTTCAGAAGTCAACACATCAGGCTGGTTCAAAATTTAAACTATGAATTTTGAACTTTTAATTATACCACTGCATTGAAAGATGGAATAACTGTAACAACTAGGAAGAAAAGGACTGTTTTCAACTGTTCAGGGCAAAATATGAGCATTTTGCAGTTGATTCTCAATTTTTATTTTTATTTGCAAATCAGAAAAAAATGAAGCGGGCGAATCCGTTAACCAAGAAATTAAATTGGTGTGGCCTAACCCTTGAACATCTAACTCTAATGTTTAAAGCTATCTAATGATAATGCCCCTACTGTTCTTGACAACGAGTTCCACTCTGCAGTAGGTACATGTACAACCACTCTTTGGCTTAACACACCAGCTTTGCAGACATGCTGTGTTGCGGCGGCTGGCTACATTACACCAAATAACTTGTTACACCTACATTTGTAACCCTTGAACATCTAACTGTAATGTTTAAAGCTATCTTATGATAATGCCCCTACTGTACTTGACAGCAAGTTCCACTCTATCTGCCAGTTGTCATGTACATTGTGTTTCTGATTGTGCTAGACTAAGTGGCATATTTGTTGCCGTTTATCTTATCTAACATAGGTTTGCACCTTGTCAATTTTTACACAGACAAGAAGACAAAGGAAACAATTGAATTAAAAAATCATTTTCACGGGTCCATATCAATAACATGTAACTTTCCTTTGTACAATATACAAACTTGGTGGGATTCTTGTTAAGAATGAGTCAATCCTTGGTTTATAACTCTGGTACTTGAAGACATGGCTATTCCTTCTGGAAAATAGTTTCATCAGGTTGGTAAAGTACAATGTATAGGATATAGGGTTTGCTTTTACACAACCAAAAGGAAATGTTTACCAAGGAGGTGTAAAAGAAGACCCTATATATCCTATGGCTATTTCTTGCTCTTTTCTGGGCTGGTATTAGGTACAGTCAAACCTGCCAAGGTGACCACCTCTTCAAGCAGGCCACCAGCCCATGGTGACCGCTTTTTCTCGGTTCCCAAAAATTTTCCCCATTGACACAAGTATTAGAAAACCTGTCCAAGGTGACCACCTGGCCAACACGACCGCGACTGCCATGAGCTGGGTCCACTCAAGGCCCGATACCTGCCCAATTGGTGACCACATCATTTTCGATTATGTTGATTATTGATGATAAGTAATGAGAAATCATGGAGAAACCAGCCAATTTGCCTTGACTGCTGCTTGATGTTTTTGTATGACGTAAATTGTTCCATGTGTCACCCTCCCCACATGCATTCACCACAGAACTGAAGACGGATGCTTTCAGCATTTGACATTAAAACATCTCGACTTAGAAACCATTTATATCTCAGTCATGTTATGAGGTGACTCTCTTCAAGGAGACCACCTGTCCAAGGTGACCACTTTTCTTTGGTCCCCTGGGTGGCCAGCTTGATCAGGTTTGACTGTACTAATAGTAAGTTAGTAGTTGGTACATCCACTAGTTTATTAGTCATTTTGTAACGTTACATCATGCATAGTCTGGACATTTTTTGTTACGAGCACTGCACTACAAGGGTTTAGAAGCAAGATATGTTGTTTGCAGGGCACCTCTGGGCAAAACTGCAGCCACATAATTTACAAAGGCTGACACTTGATGATGCCCAATGGCATGAATGTTTTATTCATTTTGCATCACAGATTTTTGACTGTTGAAGATTTCAGGTGCTTTAGAACAAACAGGGGAATGTGACATGATTTTTTGTAAGTTTACACTAGTTCCAGATGTTAAGTTTTTACCTGAACCCGAACATTTTTACAAGTCCAGAACTAGTTCCAGCAAACTGGTACACAGAACTAGTCCTGTTGCATCCAAATTTTGGGGTTGGAAGAATCAGTGCTCCTCAGTCAAAAAAGTTAGCCTGGATAGTATTACCTGCAACCTGCTGCCAGATTCTGAAACATGTCAGAATTCACAGTAAGCATGCATGGCAGTCGATTCAGTACCAGGTGGCACAACAGCTTCCAAAAATGTTCCTTTGAGAAGCAAACAAATACATGACTTGTACACATGTAGTTCCATGGCCTCATACCTTTGCCAGATAACATTCACTACTGATGAATTGTAATTGTTCTTCAGTGATTATGCAAATAAGATACTCAATTCAATTCAATTTATCATATCAGCTGATCATACTCTCCACTCAATGACAGTCATATGTTTACAAAGAAAGGAGCAAGTTATGGTAGCATTTCTTAGTTATGCATATGAGGTCTTTATTTGAAGTTATGTTTAATTAAAGACACATTCACTTAACTTCAATATGCAGTAAGTATAAAATTCCAGGCAGATACATGTACCATTATGACATTATAGCATTATCTCATTAATATGCAAATTATTAAGTAAGTACCGTTAGTCATTTGCATAAACAGTATCTACCATGTTCCTCTACTTCTTAATTACAATGTCACAAGTTTGACTTGCCCTATTTTGGAACACAGCAGATTTATTTTGCTCTTTATTTATGCAAATTAGACTCTGATTTGAATATTTGTTGTACAGAGTAACACCAGAGTTTTAATGTAGTAATATCAGGCATGGGCAAAAAAGTAATTACGAGTACCTCATGCTTACATTTTGGATGGACACTAGATTGCCAGTTGGCTCATTTATAGCTAAAAAGGTCATCAATGAGTTGGCGAGTCCAGCTGGTAGCAACGGATTAATATGTTGATCTAATCTAGCCACCTTCGAATTTTTTAATCAATCCAGGTTCATCATCAGATTTGGGGAGGGGAGCTCCGTAGGCGCGGCACTAGCGCCAAATGCACTCACAATCTAGGGGGGTCCTGGGGCATGTTTCCCCAGGAAGTTTTGGATTTTTAAGCCAGTGTTGAAGGTGGTTGTTGGTGGTGTTTTCATATTTTTACCCAAAATTTTTGTTAATTTTGTCTGTCAAGGTTGACGGATTGGTTTTACATAATTTCCTTCACACGCCATCAATTGACAGGAAAACTGGTGCTGGCTAGAGCCCTACTTACAATGTACGACATTTGATTTTACAACAGATACCTGGCTGGTGGATCCAAAGGCTTGCAATGAGTAGGACTATGCAATGGGTAGGACTTGGAGCTGTCCACAGATGTTATTTAGTATCTGATGTCACACTGAGAAAAACTCCAGATCTGCATGCACTATGTCAGTATTCAGAAAAAACTTTCATTAATTTTTTAGTTTTAATGAGTAGGTTTTTTATGCAGAATGAATCCTTCTGATTTCTTACTTGGTACAGCTTAGCTGATTGTCTCCACAACATCATCAGTCGACGTCCGCCCATCCTCTTTTCATTGAAACCCCCTCTGGGCAGTGACGTTGGCCTGTCGTCACTCATTGTGGTTCCTCCAGTTGTTGTCCCTACTCCTAAGCCATACCCAGTGTAATGCTGCTTCTGCTGCTTCTCCAAGATTCTTAACAGCTTCTTTCCTACTCTTGCCTCTCATCCCTATAGGGCCCCCAGTGTTCTCCATACTGACTGACTGACAAATCCTCTGCACCCTACTTCTATTGGGTAGCACTTGAGGCCTTCCATCTCATGTCTGCACAGCTCTGATGAAGATCTCTATACTTCTCTGCTTTCCCAGCAGTGGGCTTCTTCCAACCTAACCTCCCACAGCACTGTGAGCATCACCACTACGTCTGGTCTTTATAGTTTGTTTTCAAGATGTCTTCGGGGGACTTCAGTTTCCTCTCTGGGTCAACCCGCATTGCCCAGTTGTTTGCAGGACCCCGCTTTCATCTTCTCCAGCTCTCTTCCCTTCCCTCACATTGCAGCACTTAAGCACTGATATACATGTGAGTGAAAAAAATATCCATACCAAGGAATGTCTGTGGGTTACAGATATTTCTTTAGATTTGATTTTAGTATTGATTAGAAAATAAATACTAAGTGAGCCTGGTGTAAGAATTGATATGATATATTAACTGTATAATGACTACATTTTGGAAATGGTTCTAAATAAATCTTTATTTGCAAAAAATCATGCCCAAAGGCTAATTGCTTTCACAGTCAAAGACACTATTCGGTAACACAATAATAGGAGACAGACAACTACTTGTCTGGAAAAACATATTTCTACTACTACACTAGATATTATTAGAATTAAATAAAATCTCAATCATTGCTCTATCTGCACAGGAAGTCATAACTCCACCCTGAGGACCAGTCCCTACCATTCTCCCACTGGCATGGTACCAGCCAACTCTGCACTGCACACTCGGCATGCTGTGATGAATGCAGGGAGTGTTCAGCTAGCTGGGGTTAACTCCAACCCAATGGCCTCTCTTTATACCACACAAGAGGATACCAGTTCTCGGTAGATACTTTGAGTTTGATTTCAAACTAGACTAGAAAGGCCGACATTTGCTTTGGAGCAAATGTAGCATGGCTTCACCACGTTCATGACATGGCAGGGAAAGAAGGAGAAATTATAATAGTTATATCAATATAAAGCATTGTTTTCCCTACCAAATATCACTAAGATCCATTCACAAATTTTCCTGTTATACTGCATAGTACATACAATTTGATAAATGCACAAAAACTCTGCCGCAGTAGAATTGGGAATTAAAAGCCAGGTGGACCATTTTATAACTTGAACTACATTTTCACCAGAAATTAAAAAATCAATCCACAAAAACGTGAGTTATGATGTTGACCTTAAGCTTAATACAGAGAGACACGCCACAGCAGGTCCACCAGGTTCAACCCCAAAACATAGTTACCTTACTTGACGTAAGCGACCATTTTTTCTCTCCCTATATGTGAGGGAGTGAAATATTATTTTTCATTGAGGCCACACTAATTTGATTTGTTGGTTCTCAGATTTTTTCATAAAGAATACAAGAATTCCACGATCTCATACCTTCGCCAAATGATGTTAACCCTTGCGGTTGACGAATTATACAATTTCAACATTTGATTTTGTAAATAAGGGCCTCATTTGCATGGATTACTTTAGTTAATCCTATTCTTGTTTGTTTGTTTGTTTGTTTATTGGTTCGCATATATTTAGTAACAGTAAAATGAAAATGTTACTGACAATAAAATAAAATGCTGGGGAAAGATATGAAGCCATAGTGGCTTGTCTGGGATCTTCCCCGACAAAATTAATTAACAACTGAAATAATGCTAACAAATCAAATGATAATAATAAATAACAATAGGTAATTAATAAATTTGATCAATATGATCAAAATGATAATAGTAACAAAACAAATAGTAACATGAATAACAAAAGTGATTGATAAATAACGCTAATTAGAAATGATATGTTAAAAACTATAACTTTAACGTTAACAGAACTTTAACTGCAATACAGACATTGGCAGAATTGAAGCAATAACTCAAGAAAATAAATGAATTTTAAAGAGAAACGGAAATTCAAACTTATACAGATGAAATCAAAGTAATAAGAAATCAAATGTCGGTGGAAAAGAAAAGTAGGTGATTTTTAAGATTTCGTTTAAAGTTAATTATTGATGTTAAACATTTTAGGTGGAGCGGGAGATTATTCCAAGTAGTTATACATTTATATTTTACACTCATTTGGGCTACGGACGTTCTAACTAGGGGGATATGGAAATGGGCACTTTGTCGAGTTTGGTAAGTATGAAAATGGGAATTAAGATTTAGAAGACCATTAAATGTGTCTGGAAGAGAACAAGTAAGGAATTTAAACGTAAATAGCATCAGATGAAGTTTGTTTATGTCAAAAATATTCAAAATATTAAGTTTTGTAAACAAAGGTGCAGAATGTGCGTGGAAACTGGCGCCGGTGGCTGAACGAACAAATCTTTTTTGGAGTAATACTAGGGGCTGTAGTGTGGTTTTGTAGGCGCATCCCCAGACTATATTCTCCACCCAATGACAGCCTTCTCTTAACAAAAAGGCTATTATAGCACTTCCTCATAAATTATGCAAATGAGTTCATGATTTGAATAAATTATGTTTATTGATGTTCACCTTCACTTAACTTCCAAATGTGGCAAGTATGAAATTCCCAGCAGTTACAAGTATTAAATCATAAGAATTTGTCATTAATTATGCAAATTAGGTCCTCATTTACATAATATATATATCCTCACTGACAGATGTTTTTCTCATTCTCAAGTAGATGTCACAAGTGTTTCATAGTTCTATTATAGAACAAAGCAGATGTATAGAATTTCCTCATTAATTATGCAAATTAGCTCCTGATTTGCATAGTTGTCATCTGATTATGTCAAACATCACTTCAACTACCTACATACCAAAAATCACGACAATTCGTCAACCGGTACTTGAGTTATCCTTGTTCGAAAATTTTTTCAACAAATGCTCCTGCAGTTCCAGAACAAGCCACTAGGAAACCCAAACTCATGTCACTTCTTCCCTATCCCAAGAGCTATCTGCCATCCAAAATTCGTGACCCTAGCATGTCCAGATCACGAAATATCAAAACCGGAAGTTCTGCTGCAGTACCTAGGAAAGCCGCCAGGGGCCCCAAAATCTTATCATTTCTAGGTCTCATAAAGACCTACCCACCTACCAAGTTTCATTCCAATCCATTTACTGCTTCTCGGGTTATCTTGCTAAACCACACACACACACACACACACACACACACACACACACACACACACACACACACACACACAAACACACACACAGACAAATGCTACTGAAAACATAACCTTCTTGGCGAAGGTAATGAAGCAACAGGGCAAAAAAATAAAAACAGGTGTAGGCATCCTAAGTATTATAGCCCCAAATGGTACGATTAGAGCCATGAAGTCAACACAAAAGGCTGGGTTAATATTTAAACAATGAATGTTGAACTTTCTAAAGTCAAACCACTGTATTGAGCTGGAAAAACTGTAACAACTAGGAAGAAAAGGACTTTCCTCAACTGTTGAGGGCAAAATACGAGCATTTTTTACTTGATTCAGAACCAGAATCTTTGCAAATCAGAAAAATCAGAAAAAACATGAAGAGGCGAATCTGAGAACCAACAAATTGATGTGGCCTGAGGGAAATATAGCAGAAAGGAATTAGAATATATTTCCTTTCCATATAGTGAAATATGATTATTTTCAAGATGATATTGATTAAAAAGGCTTTTTATTTTTAGGTCAGCAACATCACAAGCAACATTCCATTACAACAGTTTCAGTGCTGTTGGCCAACCAGGCTATTCTGCTGCATCACATGAACCAAGCTCTGGTGTCCAGAATTCAGCTCTCCGTTTCAGTGGAGGCTACCCATCTTCCTCACAAGTAAGTTGTATTGATAAGATTAAGGTTTTCATTGATGATGCACATATTAAGATTGATTGATAGCCATGCAAACCATTGTCTCCCATGTTGACATCTTTGGTGTCCCCATTCAAGGTGTGTGTGCGTGAGTGAGTGAGTGAGTGAGTGTGTGTGTGTGTGTGTGTGTGTGTGTGTGTGTGTGTGTGTTTGCGTGCGTGCGTGTGTGTGTGACAAGAGAGAGAGACAAGTTAGGCAATGCTTTGCCTGGTTCATGGCTAATAATGTCCACTTTTCCATATAATACAAGATTCCCATTAGTTATATTATCATAATGGTATTGTAGCATTTCCTCATCAATTAAGTCTATGAGGTCCATAATCAAATTTGTCCTTTATCCACATACCAAAGTTATGCTTCCTACAAAGAAACACCAACAAAACAATTTACAACATATTACTAACTCTTGGCAGAGGCAATAAGCCCAAACTAATTATAGCTGCATCCTGCCATATAGCAGATCACAAAATTTAGCCTTAGATGTTTGAAACTCTTATGCAACACAGGAGTAACGCATTTTCTCATTGATTATGCAGATGAAGTTCTAATTCTAGCGCTATTCATTTGCATGTAATTCAATTCAACCAAATGATTAGGACTAGAATAGGAACTTTATCTGCATAAATCAATGAGAAAATTTGTTATCCCAATGTTCCATGATACGAATTTCAAACATCTAGGGAGCAGAACATTAATTTCACAAATTTGAGATTTCACTGGGTTCAATTCTCTCTCTAAACAAGAATTCCAAGATTTCATACCTCCATGAAATATATGAGTCCTTGTAAATGTTTTTTATTTGTCTCATTGACAATGGAAATAAAGTCATAATTAGCATAATCTTGTTTAATTTATGGTTTTCTAAATTCAAATCACAATATTTTTTGTGTAAAATTCCTTTTTCATACTTCATTTCAACATGTCCTCATTGATTATGCAAATGACCCCTTACATTAACATAATATATGCATAGTTGTATGAAAGTTCATCTTAGTTGGTAAATTTCATTGTGAAAAACTTAAACTTTTCTCCAACTCAAAATTTGACTCACCAGAAATTTTCGATTGAATCACTCAGTCCTCCTCAGCTATCTGACCCAAATGCTGTGGACACGTGATTTTTCCCACGTGTGACGTCAGCAAAGGGTCAAAGGTTGTCTGAAGTCGATATCGCCCCCTGTCCCGGTTGAGCGATGGTTGAAGTGCCCTGATGTATATGGCCTCTTTTATGCCTCTCTATATGTTAGGCAACCAGTGACCAGAAAATCCTGGTAGTTGACATATAGTCACTGAGACCGAGGTGGCGTGTTGTAGCTTGCCTGAGAGGGAGGGCAACGCACTTAGGGCTGAAGTCGCGTCCGTTCTCAACCGGAAAAGACACATCCAGTCTAACATCACTAAGGAAGAAAGGGAAGCCCTCAAATCGCTAAGCCAAGACAAAGATATTACCATCTTACCGGCGGATAAAGGTCGCTTGACCGTGGTTTTAGGACTACAAGGATAAGTGTGCAACCTTTCTCAAGGACACCAACACCTACCGGAAACTCGGCAAACGGGATCCCACATCCAAATACAAGAAAGAACTTGTCGCCGTGCTCCAGAAAATCGAAGAAGACAGGGGAATTAATAGAATGAAATACAGGCAACTCTATCCCACGGCCGAGACGACACCGAAATTCTACGGCCTGCCGAAAGTTCACAAAGCCGGAATACCTTTACGCCCATAAGTTGCATTGATTCTATTACATATCCGTGCGCAAAATTCTTGGCCAGCATTTTGTCTCCACTTGTCGGCAGAACGAAACATCACATTGTAAATTCTCAACAGTTTGCAGATTTGGTTAAAAATGAGAGGGTGGAAGAAGATGAGGAACTAAGATCGTTTGACGTAACTGCATTGTTTACATCGGTGCCAGTGGATAAGGCCCTCAGTGTTATTTCCCAGAGACTACAAGAAGACCCAACCCCTCCCCAAAGAACAACTTTGAAGCCCGAACATATAGTAGACCTGTTGCAAGTTTGTCTAAAGTGTACATATACATAGTATGATGGGGTATTTTACCAACAAGTGCACGGAGCCGCTTTGGGCTCACCTGTTTCCCCCATAGTGTGCAATCTTTATCTGGAATATTTAGAACAGTTGGCTATAAAAACCGCCCCACATCCCCCTATTTGGTGGTACCGATATGTGGATGACACTCATACAAAGTTAAAGAAAATCTATGCACAGGAATTCACAGACCATTTAAACAGTTTGGACCCGGATATAAAGTTTACATTTGAACAAGAAGAAGATGGTGCACTGCCCTTTCTAGACACTCAACAATCAACCAGGATAGGTCCCTGCGGGTAAAGTTCTTCTATACCGTAAGGCGACACACACGGACCAATATCTGAATTTTTTCTCAAACCACCCTTTGGACCACAAGTTGGGTGTGATCAAGACCCTTTTACATAGAGCTAATACCACCATCAGTGATCCTGCAGATAGAAGTAGCGAGATCGAGCACGTTACAGAAGCCCTAAAGAAGTGTGGCTACCCTCAGTGGCTTATTAGGAAAGCCTCCGAGCCCAGACAGCCCCGGTCTAAACCCCAAGATAGTCAGGGAACGGGAGGGAAAAACAGAAAAACACTTGTAGTCCTCCCATACGTAAAGGATGTTTCTGAGCCCCTACGTAGAATCTTTGCTGCACACGGAGTGAGTACCTGTTTCAGACCTCATCGTACGTTAAGACAACTCCTTGTGGCACCTAAGGACAAAACTCCCAAGGAAGACAAATGTGGGGTTATCTACCACATAAGTTGCCAGGGAAACACTAACAGAGGCCCCTGTCGGGAAACTTATATCGGGGAAACTGAGCGCTCACTAAAAACCAGGTTTCTAGAGCATAGACGACCCAGTTCTGTTGCATCTGAGGTGTCACAGCACATCCACATAGAATCACCGGGACACACAGTGGATCTGGAGGGGGTCAGAATCTTGGATACCGAACAGGATTACTTCAAGAGAGGCATAAAAGAGTCCATATACATCAGGGCACTTCAACCATCGCTCAACCGGGACGGGGGGCGATATCGACTTCAGACAACCTTTGACCCTTTGCTGACGTCACACGTGGGAAAAATCATGTGTCCACAGCATTTGGGTCAGATAGCTAAGGAAGACTGAGTGATTCAGTCGAAAATTTCTGGTGAGTCAAATTTTGAGTTGGAGAAAAGTTTAAGTTTTTCATTATGCATAGTTGTGTTAACCTTTAAGAAACATACACATGTCACAAGGTATAAAATTCCCATCATTCACCAATAAGGCGTTGCAGAATTTTTACATAAATTATGCAAATTAGGTCTGATCATTTGCATAATTGGTATCTGTTGATGTTCTACCTGCCACAGATTAAATAGATTACATCTATAATATATAAGTACTATTAAATAAAATGCTGCAAGTATAGAATATCCTCATTAATTATGCAAATTAAGTCCTCATTTGCATAATTTGCATTTGATTATGTACAACTCTCTCTTAGCTGCCTGGAATTTCATACTAATGGTATTTGAAAGTTCAGTGAAGGTGAACATCATTAAACATAATGCATTCAAATTAGGACCTCATTTGCATAATTTGTGAGGAAATGCTAGAATGGCATTGTTTATATAAGACTGTCTTATGGTTGAGAATATGATAAACTAATATAATTCATGAAAATGAGGATCTTATCAGGGGGAATAATCTATAATTTGTCAGCCATAAAGATTAAGATCATTTGGCGAAGGTATGAGATCGGGGAACTCTAGTTAAGTATTGAATTTAAGTACTTTTAATATAATTAAAATTCAGTCATCATGTCTGCCATTTTTGCTGTCTGCCTCCAGTACCACAATGCAAGATTGGGATCATCTGATAATGAGATGGCGCCTTCCAGTAGTATTGCCTCCCTTGGAGCTGCCTCAAGGTGGCCAGATGCTACCAACTCCAGCTATACTGTAAACTCTGACCTCCAGAACCAGTACACCTGTGTAGAAACAGCAGCTGTGTATGGGTCTGCCATGAATCTTTCCCGACGTGGCATGGAGTACAATCAACCTGGCTATCAGTACACTGGCACTGAGTCAAGACTTGGCCATCCTGCAAATGGCTATGTGCCCCACTACCCTTCAGCATATGGTGCGGACGCCTATTATCATGGCAACAAAAGAGTAGAGGATATTGGGACAAAGAGAAGAGCTGAAGAGGAAAACATTTTGGGAGAGGGATCAGGTGACCACAGTACAGTGATAAGAAGCCCTCAAAAGCGATCATCATATTCTCAGCACCTAGGGTACTATTCACATATGCAGACTGCAAGTTGAGCAGATACTTTGAGATAGTGTAAAAAACTTATACTACACTGTATACATGAATAATACTATGTTCCAACATCATGATGAAATCTAACATGTCTACATGTCCATACATATATACATTGTATAGTCTTATTCAAGCTTGAATGACAAATCACTTGGACATGCGTTGTGCATAGACTATGACAAAAGCATTATGTTCAATCTACACAATCTCAAACAAATTGGCCACAAGTAGGAGACAGTGCATTTGACACTATTGAGTGAAAACTATTTGGATTTTTCAAGTCTAATTTTTGCAATATAACATTAACATTACACAAAGATTAACTGATTCAAGATCAAGAGGTCACAAAATGAGGGTGATAAAAACATTGAAAGGGAATTATAAGAGAGCAATCTTCTTCACTAATTGGAAGGTCATGTGGTGGAATGGTCTGCCCAAGCGAGATCGAGGAAGTGGTATCAGCATCCACTGTAAATCCATTAAAAAACAGCCTGGATACTGGTATTACATGGAATGCCACCCAGTATTTTGTATAACACTCGATTTGGCTGTTATCAGCAGTTCTGCTGCATGGTCATGAACCCACACTTAATGTAATGGAAACCAACTTTTATGTGATAAAGCAGAATTAGGTACTAAATGTAATGCCCTAAATTTGACACTTTTGCTAGCAATTGTATATTCTTGTCCATAACTACAATATTTTTTAGATTATTAGATCTATGGTTTTCTTTAGTAAATGTAAAATGATGCCTTCGATAATTTGGGGTATTAAGGACAATATTTAAAAGTGCTGACAATTTCATATTTCTGGTCTCCATCACAGACTTAATTATTTATTGTAACTTACAATTTATTGATACAATTTAAATTGTTATATGTTACGTGTAGCCTCAGCACCAGTGTGCAAGCATGTCTGAACCTTGAAGACAGGGAAGAACAGAGTGACAATAAACCGGATAGTGAGTGTTTGTGAGTACTTGACCCCAACTATTTCTGTGTACACCAAAATAAAGTAATAAGCCTCATTGCAAATGCCCACTTACATTGTATCCATTCAACAAGAAATCTTATGTCATATTCCAAAAAGCAATTACTCAAGCAACTGGATATGATTTTGAAAACGTCAAACCTTTCAGCTAGCATCCACTAGCTTTTGTCAGTGACTGAGAGACCAGAGGGGAAATGCAGGTTGATAAGCACAAACTATTGATTGATATGCAAATAAAGTGAAGACAAATTTTTGGAAGTCGAAAAAAGAACAAAAGTCAGTCTCGGGGCTGAGGGTGCCAAACATCAAGTGCCGGAGAGATCCACCTGTAGCCCCCCTTCCCTGTTGAGGGTGGGGTTGTACATTCTTTCATATATTGGTTGTGTTGGTTGGAACCTGGTTGGTTGTGTTGGTTGGACCCTGGTTGGTTGTGTTGGTTAGACCCTGGTTGTGTTGTAGGTGGTGGAAAATAGCTGAGGAGTAGCAATATAAGAGGCAATATTTGAAAGAATGTACAACCCCACCCTCAACAGGGAAGGGGGGCTACGGGTGGATCTCTCCGGCACTTGAATTTTGGCACCCTCAGCCCCGAGAACAGACAACATTAAGCTCCTGTTCTGTATAACAGGAGCTTTCTGACTAATTTTCATTATCTTGTCTTGACTTGTCTGACTTTTGCTCCTTTTTCGACTTCCAAAAATTTGTCTTCACTTTATTTGCATATCAATCAATAGTTTGTGCTTATAAACCTGCATTTCCCCTCTGGTCTCTCAGTCACCGACGAAAGCAAGTGGATGCTAGCTGAAACGTCTGACGTTTTCAAAATCATATCCCGTTGCTTGAGTAACTGCTTTTTGGCGTATCGTATACCTGGATGTCTAACCTTCATCGATGTTATGTCATATTATCGCCACTTCTACTATTTGGCATGACATGGCATGACACGTAATATGGGTCTGTGAGGGAAGACAGAACTATAAGAGAGGACTATAAAAGAGATTGAAACAATTGTACACAACATGATTGCTCAATGATGCTTGTGTAGAGATGCTGATCACTTATAACATAATTGTCATCCAGTGCCAGACCTTCCCATCTGGTGTTGATTTTCTTGAAAGCCATACAGTATAGCCATCACAAATGAGGTAATTATTATGGTAGTATTTATCCTTACCATGCCAAATCCCAACCTCTCTGTTCCTAAAATTGGTATAAACAAATGATTGTAACTTGTGATGAGACAATATTAACTTTACATAACAAATATTCCATACTGTTCAATCATATTCTCTTGTGCAGTACAGTAAATTGGTTGCTAAAACAAAGTGCGCAAACCTACCTCAATTACATGCCCATTGTATTTTTTTTATTACCATCATTGAAAATCCCGACCTGATGATGATGATTGTATCTGTATAGCCAGCATATGGCACTGGCTTCAAAGACACAGTTAGATTATACTGAACGACATCTGACCTTAACTTTGCACATCTAACTGCAATCATTGTTTAAAGATATCTAGTGATGATGTTCCACTATACAATGCAATAATGTTACAATTGTAGTTTTAGGAAAAAACACCTCAATCCTGGGTCAATAACTATGATACTTTGGATATTTCTTGTTCTTTCTGGTGTTAACACGTTAGATATTCAGTACTTTCATGGTCTTGTAAGACCGACGAATGCCTACCATTTATTCAGTAGTTGGTATGTCCACCAGTTTATTAGTTATTTGAAGGCATTTCTTGTTCTTTTTGGCATAAGATATTCACTTGTGTCTGGGTTTAGATATTCAGTAGTTGGTACGTTCACCAGTTTATTATTTTGTACATTTATTTATCATGCATAGTCTGGGCATTTTCCATCTTCGAGTTTACACCCACTGAAGATCTGTTTTGTTTTGTGACACTAGCACCCCTATTGTAATAAACTGGTATTCATACAGTCTGACAGCTTGGTTCTGTACCTTTTCCAGTTTATCCTATTACATGTATAGGCTTGACTTTCTTTGTATATTGGACTTTCTTTGTATTTTGACCCTATAATGTTGCAGCATATTCCAGGTTCTTAGAAGTGTTGTGTATATAAGTAATTTTTCTCTTGTTCAGTTTGCCTTGCGTTCAACTTGATTAATTAATACTCCCAATGTCTTTTTGTGAAAAGCACAATCGCAGATTCCATGGATGAGTCGCCAAACAAAGTGCCAAAATTTCCTTGCCAATGTCAAACACTATTGGCAGGGAAATTAGAGCTTTCACATAGTTAGCCCTGGCATTTCACTTACAAGAAAATTATGTGCAAATAAGGTATTATACATGTAAGATTGTAAAGAGTGACTGACTGAAAATTTCAGATCACATTAACAGCAATGTTAACAATAACATTAGAAGAAAAAGATGGGTGATAACACAGTCATAATTTATAATACAGGATAACCCACACCCCGTTCTTGAAAGTACTATGTACATGTAATATTATTCTTGATTTGTCCTACTTTAATGTTCAGCATATGTTTCTGCAATTTATAGCCTGAACTTCTGACTCAGATGAGAGTTTTGAATTGGACTTATCCATGCATGCATGCTGTAAATTATTACACAACACCTAGTAAGGACGGTGCATCAAAATAGCAAACGGGCACTGTTAAGGGTCTGTTTTGACCCTCCCCCCCCCATAGTACAGTAAAACTGTAAGAATTGTGGTTAGTTTTGGACATTTGCCGATACAATTTTTAATGTTGTACACCACTGTATATATTTCATTTGACTTCACTACACTGTAGTCAAATGTTTTTGTTAAGACCTTCACACAAGAGATGGAAAGAGCCAGAATGCCATCTCAATAAGAATTCTTTGTATAATCCTAACTGTGCAAACTGTATTCTGAAAATTTTGACTGTATTCTAAGTTCAGTGCAGTTCATCCTTCAGTTCTACGTATTCAGGCGAATTTTGGGTCTAACTTTGTAACATCTAACTCAGTTGTTGTGAGTCTTCGTAGTTTCTTGGTCACGCCGGCCCCCCAACATGACAGATATGGAGGGGGGAAGCCCAAAAATTCTAGAAAACTGGAATGCCGTCAAAATTCAATGTATATTCCAGGATTTTTTTATGTTCATTCTAGAAATTCTCACTGCATTTCAAATATTGGTACCTAGATTTTTGTGGCCGGCCCGAACGTTTTGGTCATGCTCAAAACTTTCAAGGTTAATTTGTTAAACGGCACCGGAATTTAAAGTGAGTTCTAACTGCAGCAGTATGACTGCATTTTAAATAATTTCAATAGCATTCCAGCAGCACTCAAAAAATTCTGGTTGCATTTGAGGGAGAACCAAATGGGCCTAAATCTTTTAAATACACTCCAAATTTTCAGAATAAATACACTTTGAATGGTCAGGCATACTGGGTATGCCAGTATTTATTCTGGTGATATTTTAGCTCATTTTACCTCTAGTGTGAAGGGGGCTTTCAATTTTATAATTTCATAAATCGAGAGTAATAAAAAAAAGAATAAAAAACTGTGTAATAACTGTTCTATTGTGTCGAGTATTGCATAATATTATAAGTTGTACTTGTGTACATGTATATTGCTGTCTTACTAAGTTGTAAAACACTGTTAATAAATGCCCAAAAGCTTGTGTTAAGCTTAAAATGGCATTTTGCAACCTAGGGTACCAACTCCTTTTATTATCATTTCAACATTTACTTAAATAACAAGACATTTTGGATATCAACACACTGAAGCTCATCTCCAGGGCCTGAATCTTCAGGTTGTCACTAGGATGTCCAGGCCTCAGATTCATAAGCAATGTCTTGATGTCATCAAGTAGATTTGATATATGAAACCGTATTAAATGAATCTGATACAATCGAGGTACCCCCAACACGTAGTTCTATGATAAAAAATTCAGAATCAGCAATCAGTTTAAGTACATAACTTGATAGTACTTATTGTATGACACAAAGCTTTGACATATATCAGTCATATACTGGAGCAATCACAGTAATACCAACTAGATGCTTACTGCTAAAAACACAAAAGTTATCACAAAATATAAAACAGTAACTGGTGAATCTTCATTTAGATGTAGTAAACAATTTGTTTCAGTGACCTCATTTCAATATCATTACAATATCTGTTTAGGAAAAATACATCTTATGAGTACGAGATAATAATACTACGGTACAGTACCATCAAAGTATTCTTATCTCATAACATCATGGTAGACAGATCTCCCCTGCCCATGTTACCTTATTACAATGCACATCACTCACAGAAACAGGTATCGACTTAGAACACAAAGGGCTCCCTCAAAATCGATTTACAGACTAAACAATAGGAAAAGCTACTGTAACTGTTGAATGGTTCTCACCAGGCTAAGGAAAGGATGCACTCCAATGCTGTCTTTCAACCAGTGAAAGGAAGAGTTTATATTCGGGGAGAACCTTGTGACCCTTATTGTTTATTTCAATAATTACTCCGGGAGGTCTGCATCCTGCAGGAGTATTGTGGTCAGTTGGTTTTACGCGTTCGGTAAAGTGACTAATGCCAACAGTTTTCAAATATGTAAAAAGTATACAATTCGGCCTATTGCTGCTATGTACCTTTCATATCCGATCAAAATGATCAAATAAACCATTCATTCGTTCATTCATAGAAGGCTAGGCTAGCATTTTTATCAATTATGCTAATGCGATCCTGATTTACATAAGTTATGTCTAATGGTACCAACTTAAACACACTGCCAAATGCCTCAAGTATGCGATTCCTGTCATTCACCCATGGATTAATGTTATTCCCTTGTTTGTTATGCAAATTAAGTCTTCATTTGTATAATTTATATTTGTTATGTTCTTATTATCATATAGCCAGGTGGCGTTATAGCCAGGTATTTGATTATGACGCCATAATGTCACAGTTAGCATGATACAAGTATTGCCAGGTGTGTTTTATTCTCACAAGTGTGCTTTGTTGCACAATAAAGCATGGCCAGGAGCAAACCATTTGCAGGGGAGTTGACTCTTTTTGCTAACAATTATAGCAAGTTTCCTTGTTGAATAGAAATGTTTACCGTCTTGTCTTCACCCAATTTATTTAGCAGTACATAACAAAACTAGAGGTCGGAGATCTCATGTCTTCGTC